TTGGCCAAGGCGTCCGTGGTTTGCCGACCTTGTGGATCTATCTCTCTCGCCACTGTGGAGGATTCCCCCGGACCAAGTGGCTCTCAGCCAAGGGAATCTTCAACATCCAGATTCACAGTGGCTCCAGTTGGCCCCCTGGCACTTGATTGGGAAAGTTTAGCTAGGCAATCCTATTCGTCCGGGGTGATCTCAATGATCCAAGCCTCAAGACACCCCTCAACTAATTGGATTTATGACGCCATGTGGAAGAACTTCTGCATATGGTGCACTAAACAGCAGCTCAGGCCATTATCAGTCACCATTCCTAACATATTGGAGTATCTTTTGGAAGGTATGAATAAGGGGCTCTCGCCTAATACCATCCGCAGACAGGTTGCGACCTTGCAAACGGTCCTTACCTGTAACAACCTGGTCCCTTTATCACATCATCCAGCTGTAAGTGCCTTTCTGAAAGAAGTGGTTAACGCCAGACCACCTGTGGTCCATCTTTATCCCTCTTGGGACTTACCTAGGGTGCTACAAGCCCTGACCTCTCCACCGTTTGAGCCCCTCGGGTCTTGTTCTCTTCATTTCCTTTTCTTAAAGGTAGCATTCTTGGTGGCTATCACATCGGCCAGACGGATTTCGGAATTGGCCGCACTCTCAGTTCGGAGTGACTTGTGTACCTTTTTTGAGGATAGGTACACAAGTACCTATAGGTCTTTCGTTTGGACCCTTCCTTTGTTCCAAAGGTTAACACTTGGTTTCATAGGTCACAGGACCTAGTTCTTCCAGATTTTTGTCCTAATCCATCACATCGTCTGGAGAGACAATGGCATAAATTAGACGTGCGCAGAGCTCTGCGTCATTATGTTAAGCGGACCTCGGCCTTCCGTAAATCAGAGGCCTTGTTCGTGTCCTTTCAGCCCTCTGCCATGGGTCAGAAGGTATCCTCTTCGACCGTTGGTAGATGGATCAGGGCATGCATTGCTCGGGCCTACCTTTCTCAGTCACTTCCGGTTCCTACGCATATCACCGCTCATTCAATGCAAAGTGCAGCTGCATCTGCGGCCTGGTCCACCCAGGCATTGGTCAAGGAGATTTGTAGGGCAGTGACCTGGTCCTCCCCTTCTTCCTTTGTGAAACACTACAAGATTGATAGGTTTGCTGCGGCGGATGCCTCGTTTGGTAGGAGAGTTCTTTAGCAAGTAGTTTCTTCTCAGGACAGACAAGCCTAGACTTTCCCTCCCCGTAGGGACATGAAGGGGCTTTGGTATGTCCCACCGGTGGATTCTACATTCATCATGCTGGAGAAGGGGTGTTGTCTTACCTGAACGCCTTTTCTCAGCATGATGATGTAGAATCCACACCTTCCCTTAAGGCAGTCTAGGCAGGTGTCATGTTAATTGGAACCATTGCGTCAGACTTCATCATGGATGCTTCGCCTCATCAAAAACTGGAGGACACTCCCAGAGGGAGGCATGGCTAAAGTTCTGACTTAGTCTCTTCTGAGCAGGAAGGCTGAGATTACCACTGGTAGATTCTACATCATCATGCGAGAAAAGGCGTTCAGGTAAGACAACGCCCCATTCATTTTTCCTTCTAAATTAGATTTATTCAGTTGGATTAACAAGGGTGAAGGATTTGGTTGGATTAGCAAGGGTGTAATGAACTCTGCATTGTAATAAGTAATAGGTCAAAACCTCCATTCGTAAGTTATTACAAATGCATAGAGAGTTTGAAGTTGGTAATTCTTTATATCTTCTATCCAAATAGTCTGTTGGCATTGTTTGAAAGCAAAGTTCTCTAAAATCTAGTCTCAAGGAATTGAAAGCAAGAGGCAGTAAATAGTATGACATTCCTTGACATTCTTTAAAAAAATTGATACCACTTAGATAACTTAAGTTTACATACCTGCTCTCTATATTGTCTAAAATCTTCTAAAAATAAGTAGTCCCTCATTAGTATGTGATAATTTATATCATTCAGAAGTTCCTGACCTAGCGAGAATTGTGAGACTAGTTTTAGATACAGATTCATTCATCCATTACTGTTAAATTGTTTGTGAAGGCATTGTTTTGTCAAATAAGTATCAGATATGAGGACTAGTTTCCTATAAGATTATTGTTTTCTTTACCCCTATATTTATTGATGGAAAGTCCACTTCTAATCTTAACATTGCTGTTGGTATACATGTGGGTAAGGAGATTAAGATTGATTTTATGAATTTATTCTGGACCACTTCTAATTCTTCAAGTTTATTGAAACCCCAAATTGAGGGCCTCATGACTTAAGGATTTGTAATGGGTCATTGTGGTCTTGCATTCAAATGGAAGATAGTAAAGTGTGCCCTTGATGTTCCCTGATCCTTCAGGCTTTCTTGAAGTAACTCCTTAGATCTGGCTATAAAGTTTTCACTAATTGATTTGGAAGTACTAAAGTAAATGCTGTGTTAGCTTTCCACTTTAGAAGTGTTTTATCCCTATACTTTAGTATTGTATTTCCTCAAAGTACCAAGAAGACTACAGTAAACAGATAATTTCAACAAAAGATTAACTATTATGTGTTAAGTGCCGGCTTTGCAATCTATTTTGCTGTCTTAACTAGTACAACAAAGAGTTCTATGTCCAGAGATGGGCAATTTTGTTCCAGGAATCCTGTTCATTTTAAGAACTAAATCTGTGGTGCCAAAGAGAGCATTCTATTCAGTGATTCCACAATAATATTTTTTACAGCTTACAATGTAATATTTACTGAAGCAATTGGTGTCTAAATATTAATAATGTGCATTCATTTTATTTTTTAAGAGCTGAAGTATAATTCTCACCAGCTTGATGAGAAACCACTTAGGAATGCTGCTAGAGTATAATTTTTGGGCCAGCCATGTTTCTCCTTAATTGTTGCACAATTTACTAAGCTATGGGGTACTTTATTACATGCTTTGATAAAACCAAGAAACGTGTTTGCTTATAGCACACCCCCAGAAGCACTAAGAAAGATCCTGTTAATTTGGAAGGCATTTTAGAATATTTAAAATAAGCTATCTAACCTCTTTGGGGACATGTGTCACATTGAATCTTAAACATAATAGAAGTTAAGTATTGTATTCAAAAAATCAAATAATGCAAATATTTTAATATTAATTGGTTAGCAGGGCTGTTTGAAATACATGCATGCAAGAAGAAATAGAACTGTCCATTTCAGAAAGATCAAGTATTTTTAGTAAAACTTTTCATTTTATATTTTTCCTAAGCTAATTTTTATTTAATTGTTCATATTTTGGGTTTGACAGATATTCACGAGCAATATCTTCTCTCCTAAATGATAATTTAAGAATCCTTCTTTCACACATTTATCAATGTATACTTCCTGAGATTAAGTTTTCATAAAGATAAATTATACACCCAGTATCTGGAATATTGTAATAGTATCTTCTTCAACAATCTCTGTCGCTTTCCAGAGATCTACCTATCTAAAATTCAAACAGGATATTTAGAGATTTATGATCCTTTTTGGCTTTGAGATCTACCAATATTGTATTACCTTATATATATATCAGTGTCAGATATAATATCAAATCAGCAGGCAGTTTTTTCCTGAAATCGTTTGTATTTAATTACAATAAAATATATTTAATTAACTTGTAACCAAATGTTTTTTCATGAATTTTTTTTAAAGAAAAAATTTCATTTGTAAACATTCTCATTCAAATTAAATTGCAGGGCTGTACAAAGCTTAGAATTTGATTTGGAAGAGGTGTTTCAGCCTATGCAGAAGGGCAAAGCACATCTACTGTTACTTATTAAAGCAATTTTGCATATTTTCAGGATTATGCAACTCCAGTGTCAACAACCTAAGGAGAAAAAAAATAGCTCTTTTAATGATTTTCAGACACACGATCTATTTAGTATTTAATTATTTGGTCAATGACCAACAAATTTAAAAGAAAAATAGCACAACAAATTGATATAGCATATATTAAAAATATAATGTAATAATATTACATTTACACCTCTTACTATAGGAATACATTAACTACTGAAGTAATAAGAAATTTAAAAAACCTATAATATATAATAAATATTCCCTATATTATTATTACAACTTCTTAAACCAATTACAGGTAGCCCTCAACTTATGGCCACAATTGAGTCCCAAAATTCTGTTGAGAAGCGAGACATTTGTTAAGTGAGTTTTGCCCCTTTCATGCCATTATTATTAAGTGAACTTAACTTAAAAATATTTCAGTACTAATTGGTTGAAAATGGAATTTGAGTCCTCTATGAACACTAGATAGTAAATTACAAATATTACCTCCTCAAATGGCTATCAACATTTGAGGCTTCATCAACAAATGCATTGCTTTTAAATTATGGAGAATAAAACAGTGTCATTTTTCTGTGTACTTTAGTCCCTACCATTTGTATTATTACAAATTGAAATTGATTTGGAATAGGGCAAGGGAAATATCAAGGGACTAGTCCTCTTGAAGAAACTAAGAAAAGTGCAGATTGATGAACATTATAGAACTTTATATAGACTTGAAAAATTATCACCCAGAAAGGCAAGTTATAGTCTTAATCATGCAAAAAGTTAGGCCATTAAATAATGGATTGAATTACAGAAAGGCAAATTCTAACTGAATGTTAGGACAAAGTTATGATAAGCTGTACTTTACCTGATGTGTTCAGCTGAAAGATGGACATCCATTTATGCTGGATATTTTAATTTGAGTTACTGAAGAGAATAAGAGGCCTAAATGGTTTCCAACCACAATAATTTTTGGGCAGCAGATTTTAGGATTCAAAGCCAATGAATTCACAAATGAGGTAAAAATAAAATGGTTTACCAAATAAGGCCAGGAAAATAACCGGAACTTATTAATAAGGTGACCAACTGTCCTCCTATAGAGAGGACAGTCCTCCTTTTGTAAGGTCTGTCCTCCCTCGAAAAGTGTCCTCCTACATGTCCTCCTTTTTGATATTTGAAGACTAATCTGCAGGGCTTTTTTTTTCTCATAGAATGCTCAGAATGGCGTTCCGGCATCTTTTTTTGATGTTTTTTTTTTCAACTTTTGCATGAGCTGTGCTACTCTCCTTATTGGCTTTCGAAAGCCAATAGGAATTGCTGCTGAGCATGCCAAAACACCCGGCTGGCAAACTTTGCACACGCAAGTTGTCTGCAGTGAAGGCAAATTGGCAGGAACTTTGTACCCCCTCCCTGCTACCCAACTACACCATCTCCTAGTTAGTTCCGAAGATACCTGGAGGAGACTGGAGCGGTAAGTTTCTCTTGATCTTCGGCTCTGCTAGGGCAATAATGGGTGTGGGCACAAGAGGCAGGGGCGGCGGGGATGCTGCAGGCAGGGGTGTGAGGGGCAGCAGTGGCTGGCTGCCCCCCGTGCTGTGGGAGCCATGGGTCTCTCTCTATATGGGGCTGCGCAGGGTGGGTGGTGGTGCTGGCGGGGCGGCTGCAGGCAGGGTGTGTCGACAGTGGGCTGCCCCCCAGAGCTGGTGCGGCTGGTGCTTTGGGACCGCAGGGCCCACTCTACACGGCGGAGCAGCAGTGGTGGTGGGGTGGCTGCGGGCAGGGGCGCAGTTGGCGGTTGACCTTCCATGGGCCGGGCCAGCTTTTATGATATTTTTTTCTTCAATTTATTTGTGTCCTCCTTTTCATTGTAAAAAAATTGGTCACCTTATTATTAAAGAAAGAAGAAACAGAGAAAAAAATGGAACCTTTTATCCATTCATCTGCCAGCATCTCTTTTAATACATGGGAAGTGACAGAGAACAAACCCCTATAAAGATAGTGAATACAGCAATATCCTATGTTTCAGTCTGCTCTATGACTCTGAGAAAACTCTCCCAATTTTTTATAATATTATAGTTCATGATTTAATGAAGCATTTCTGTTTATCAATCACCAATCAAAAATATGTGTCTCTTTTCCTCTTTTCCTCTTTCTTTCAGGAGGCTGTCATGAGGTACCAGACATTAATTTCTGCTGGAGAAAAGATTAGATAGCAGCCATTGAGAAGCAGGAAATAGACAGTTGTGTAGGATCAGTCTAAGGCCCAAACTTTTTTGCACAAAAAATATATTGTCTCCTGCCACTCCATACTTCCTCACCACTATAAATATATCTTCCAATATCACTGTACACCAATTTAGGGATAATCAGTAGTTCACAAATCAAAATTTAAGAAACAAAAGTGTCAAAAAGAATTTGTGACCCATTTCTTATTTGTCTTTCCTTCTCCCACAATTGGAATTATTACAGATCAAACTTTGTTTTATGTGCAAAGAAAACTCATAGAGTTATCTTTTGAGTACACTAATTCATTCCAGAGTCAGGAAAGAAATCAGCATAAGTTGCTATGAATGTGAATAGAGGAGTATTTTACCAGTTGAAAACAGAAATGGAATGTCCTTAACACAATTTTATCCAATCTAATTTTTCAGTGGATTTTTTTTTAAGTTGAAAAGTCTGCATCAAAATCTGCCTTGCCCAAAATAGATACAATGAAATGATCTTGTACAGACCTGCATATCTCCTGTTCATATAGATATTGTACTACCCTGAATGATCTGTGTACGCACAGATATTTAACCACCCATCTCCCTCATAGAGGAGTTCTGGGCATGTACAATTTAATCAAGAAAGCAACATTATAAAAGTTGTCATAGAAGCATGGATTCCCAAAGAAAATGAACTGCTACAATGTCTAATTACCAGTAGTGAGTCTGTTCCCCTTTTATTAAGTCATGAATTCTACACAGCTGCTAAGCCATGGATTTATTTAACTTTACTAGGTTCACATGACTGGCTTTAAGTCATAAATCATACAAACCTCATTATAGATAAACCTGTTACTGAACCCAATCACTGAGTCTGAATTGAAAGACTTCGGTTTACAAGAATTTTCCATCCTTTACAGTCAGTTCCTAAAGTTGCCCTAGTTACTCTCTACTCAGTGGTTTTTGTTTAGTTAAAGAGAAATTTGCCTGTGAATCCTCTTGGTTTAGAACTGTGTCCTATCTATTTTGTTTTGCATTCTCAAACATAATTTAACATCCTGCTAATAGATAACTGTTTTAATTACTTCTTAATTTAAAACCAGGCATATAAATCCCTAAAGCAATAGGATAACACAAATAATTTAAAGGCAATTAAATGAAGCAAGCTTTGGAATGACACTGCATTTTTTTTTTAAAAAAAGCCTGTAATTAGACTTTGTTTAGTCTTCTATTTAATCAAAAATCACTTAATGTTCCTTGAGGAAATCTGATATTCCCTTCTAAACTTAGTGTTAAACAAGAGCTTAAGACACATGTTTGAAAAATACTTAGGAAGCAATTATTTTTATTTATAATTTGATTATGAGAGAAACATACAACTACTTAGAAAAATGCAACTATACATAATAATGCCCAATGATTAAGAACTTGGAGTTAAGATCTGCAAAAAATCTTTAGCAGATGTTGGATTCCTCCTTCATCTATGCAAATGGCAGGCTCCTATACTCCTCTGCTTAAGTTGTGTCTATAAAAATCATTATATAATATAAATGTGATCACATATTCATGTCTTCAGACTAAGTGATTGTTGGAACCTTATTTACAGATGACATGAGGGGATATCTTAATCATATGGCATCATAATTTATAAATCTGAGTTTTCCCTTCCTGAGGTTACCATTATTATAACATTCGTCCATTGAAAATGGTAATAATAATAATAATAACAACAACAACAACAACAACAATAATAGATGATGATGATGATGATGATGATGATGATGATGATGATGATGATAAAATTGGAAGGGACCTTGGAAGTCATCTAGTCCAACCCTCTGCCCAGGCTGGAAACCCTATACCATTTTGGACAAATGGCTGTCCAGTTTCTTCTTAAAAACTTCCAGTGTTGGAGCATTCACCACTTCTGGAGGCAGGTTGTTCCACTGGTTAATTGTTCTAGCTGTCAGGAAGTTTCTCCTTAGTTCTAGGTTACTTCTCTCTTTGGTTAGTTTCCACCCGTTGCTGGTATGTGGATGGTCTCAATGTTGTACAAGTCATCAAAGATGAGATTCTAGAAAGTGTTTTCAGGAGTGACTTCTTGGACCATAGAAATCAATAAGATATTATCAATGTAATATATATGAGCATGTCCATTATGATTTGTTTATTTACATGTGTGTTTTTGGATTCCTGGTGACTACCTAAACTAGTCTCTATAGTTTTCTTGGCAAGAAATTTTGAAAATGGTTTGCTATTTTCTTCTTCCTAGGATTGAGAGACAGTGATTGGCCCAAGGTCACCCAACTGGCTTTTTGCCTGAGGTGAGACTAGAACTCATAGCCTCCCAGTTTCTAACTTGATGCTTTAACCATACATCAACTGGCTCTTAATGCATAATTCTGTGTTTTTTTGTCATATTTATGTGGTGTATATTGGAGGTGGTGACTCTTTGAGAGCTGTATGCAACGAAATTTCATTTTAATGTATGCCAATTAGTGTACATTCAAAATGACAATAAAGTTATTATTCTAGTCTAAAAAAATCTGTAAATATGGCTGTATTAACAGAGGGATAGAATCAAGATCACGTGAAGTATTAATACCACTCTACAATGCCTTGGTAAGGCCACACTTAGAATACTGCATCCAGTTTTGGTCACCATGATGTAAAAAAGATGTTGAGACTCTAGAAAGAGTACAGAGAAGAGCAACAAAGATGATTAGGGGACTGGAGGCTAAAACATATAAGGAAAGGCTGCTGGAATTGGGTATGTCTAGTTTAATGAAGAGAAGGGCGAGGGGGGACATGATAGCAGTGTTCCAATATCTCAGTGGCTGCCACAAAGAAGAGGGAGTCAAGCTATTCTCCAAAGCACCTGAAGGCAGACAAGAAGCAATGGATGGAAACTAATCAAGGAGAGAAGCAACCTAGAACTAAGGAGAAATTTCCTGACAGTTAGAACAATTAACCAGTGGAACAACCTGTCTCCAGAGGCGGTGAATTCTCCAACACTGGAAGTTTTTAAGAAGAGACTGGACAGCCATTTGTCCGAAATAGTATAGGGTTTCCTGCCTGAGCAGGGGGTTGGACTAGATGACCTTCAAGGTCACTTCCAACGTTGTTGTTGTTGTTGTTGTTGTTATTATTATTATTATTATTATTATTATTATTATTATTATTATTGCTTATTCTGAGTCAGAAATTTAAGGACTAAATCACAGAACTTATGTAATGGTCTTACCTTACAAATCTAATGTTAGTTAATAATATTTAAACGCTCTTCAACCACTAATGTTTAAAAACAATATATCCAACTTACAAAAATATATTATTTTTCTTTTTTCAATTAATTTTATAGACTGCAATGATTACTGAGGATACGACTGAAACAAGAAAATTCCAATATTAACTAAATAATTTTTTCAATTAATTATCCAGATATTTTAAACAAAGTGTGAATAGATATGCTTATTGAATAATTAATGTTATTAAACTGATTTGTTTACTTATGATTTAATTAGCTACATTTAGTTTCCATCCTTTACAAATGAATTTACTTAATTTAAGTAAGAAGTAATATATACTATAAAACATGAAAATATGAAATTGTGAAAATATGAACTTGGAAAGAAGTTGTTAATGTTTCTGCTGTCTATCTAGTCTCCCTTCTTGATTTCACCTTTAGAGAAAGACTTTTTTCATCTGTTAAACTGGAAAACATAATTACTGATTTTCCATGTAGGTTTACTTTGCATATACCATTATTATTGGCCAGTGGGAAAGGCCAAAAATCTTTGTGTTCACAGGTACAAAATCATGAGTGCAGTCCTGCTTCCCTTAAACATATAGTCTAGTTTACTTTTACAGAAAGATGCTAAAAATTATAAGTTATTCACACTTTTCATAGTCTTAATGAATGTTAGACAAGAACTCACATCTTATATATATTTGGACAGAGATAATTTTCATTCATTGACTATGGGGAGGAAATCTCTGAAAAGAATTAGGCTCATGGAAGATGCT